TAGGCATGCCATCCAAAAAGTAAATCCCAACCCTCCAAGAGGAGTATTTCTACATTTGTTAAATTAACCCAATCACTAAATAATATTATTCTCCACTAAAAGCTCTTTCACTTCCACTCTAATTTGGATACAGCATTTCCCATTATGTCTTGCATATCTTTTACCATTACTGCTGGCAAAGGGGGAGAGGGTGGTGGTGTAGCTTTAGGTTGTTGTGCTGGTAAAATCGCAGGAGAAGAAGCCACCTTAGGTACTGTAGAGGTTACTTGCCACTTTGAAGCCATTTTTAAAAAGAAAAAGTTTTGTTTCTTCTTTCCTCCTTCTTTGAAAAAAAAATAAAAAATACAAAAAAAAGTCCCTTAAAAGAAAAAAAGAAAAGAAAAAAAATAGCAAAGGAGAGTTTAACAAAAAAAGACCTTCCCAAAACACAAATCCATCTTAAGAAAAAGTTTTTTTTAAAAAAGAACAATCTAATCCATTACATTCCATTTCACTCACTTTCTGATCGCCATTTTACTTTCACTCTCACAAAAAGAAAAAAAAAAGAAAAAAGAAGGGAAATAAAAATCAACCTTCCAGACTAAAGTCCAAGTAAAATCCAATAAAAAATCCTTTATCCAGCTCTGCCCGCTTTTAAAAGTAACTCACCCAGTCTCTGGGTGGGAGCGGCGTCTTGCTTTGTTCCCGAGGGACAAAGACAGTTGGGAGGCGGAGGCAACCCGAACTCCGAGGGAGCTCTTTTTTCTCCCCCCAAAGAAGACTTCCTGGGGGGTCCAAGAGGCTCTACCTCTATTCAGGTGATACTCCCCCCCCCTTTGCCAGGGAGGGAGGTTTTGAGCCACGGAACAGCTGGTGCCTGCTGTTCTCTGCAGTTCTCACACTTTCCCAGGAGCCGCCATCACCGACGCTAAACCACCGGAAGTCCAACCTGCATTGTTAAAAGGATGTCTTCCTTTCATTCCAGATGTCCATTCTTGGGACATGAGTGGGTCTTAATCAAATCTTAATCAAGCCCTGGGTCAGGTAACTGAGTGAGGGTCCTGAGCTGGGCCATTCATTTATTTATTAAATTTGTTTTTCCACCTATCTCACCACAAGGTGAGCTTCAAGACCACATAACCTGACCAGAATGTCTCTCTTTAAAAGTGAAATTTTATAACCCTGCTACCTCTCAAATTTTCTCTTCAACTTGATAGGTGAAAAAAAGGCTTCAGATTTTTCATTCATCAAATTTATGTACCACCCAACTCATTCTCACAGTGACTCTAAATGGTTTATAGTGTAATAGTTTTTATGAAAGAAATAACAGTCCATTTAGGAAAAAAACAAACTTTCTATACCTCCTTTCAAAAGCAGCCTCCATTTTATTCCCAGCTTGGAACTGCACCTGATTTTTCTTTGAACATTTCCTTCCTATTTCTAACTTGCTACTTGTGCCAGGAATTTTGATAGAGTCCAGATGGAAGAAAGAAGATTTGTTTTTGCTTTCTGTCTAACCTGTGCTTCTTACTTATTCTTCTCCTCTCTGCCAGGATTTAGTAGTGTACAACTACCTCACGATGGCTTCTGCTAAACTTTCTTTGTAGAAGAATTCTTCCTCTTCAATTTACCTCAGTATGGCTCTGATTGTGTCTCAGCATCATCTCCACTGGCCAGCCCAGCTACGGCTGCTGAAAGTCCTGGTTCAGTAATATCAATAGTGTCTCTGATTCCCTGTCCCTGCCTTACTCTCTTACCTCCTTTCCAATTTTTCTTTTCTTTACAGGTAGTTCCGTACAGTGTTCAAATTGTGTTGCAATTAATGGATATTGCTCTGATGAAAAGCAAGAATGTCCTGCTAGGTTTAATGTCTGTATGACTTTCAGTTTGGAGAGTAAAGAAAACAAAAGTAAGTAAGACAAGCCACATAAAACTGATTGATCCTATGCCGTCTAATCGGTGAGGGTCCTTCAGGTCTTCCAACAGTGCCCCCATCCTCACTGTAATAAAGTCCATCCACCTTGCTGATGGTTGTTCTCCTTTCTTCTGCTTTTCCTGCAATAAGGGGTTCTCCAGCAAGCTGGGTCTTCACATCATTTTCTGAAGAATAATAATTTGAGCCTGGTCATATAAATAGTATCGGAAACTGGTATTTGGGTGGGTGGAGGAATTCCTTTAAGTCTGAATGATGGTTCCGATGACTGACGTTTCCCTCTTCCTTCAGAGATATATGCCAACTTTGAAACTTGCACTACAAAAAAGGATTGTAAGACAATGGAAGATCTGATAGAGAAGCCTCTCCCTGAAGAAATGGTCAGCATAAACGGTTTCCCAGGAGAAGCTATTGTTAAAGAGGTGGTCTGCAGCAAAGCCCCTCCCTCCTTTGCATCGTTCTTCCCAGCATTCCTTGGTCTCCTCCTGATGAAGCTTCTCTTCTAAAGCGCTTCCTTCCACCCAAGAAGTTGTTCCTTTTCCCAAATAGAAACCAGTTAAGCAGACAGAAATATAATCAGCACCTTGGGTTGTGTGTTTGAACTAAAAAAGATGTGTAATTCAAATAAAAAAAACCCCAATAAATAATTGGATTCCAATCCCTGCCTGATTATTTTGATTTGGTGTAGAAAAAAATCCACATTTTCTATTTTGCAGGGATTGTTTGCCTTTGATTTGATATTTCTTTTGATTACTACCCACTTGAAAATTTGCATTGCTGCCTGAAACTGACACAACTCTATCAGTTGAAAGGGCAGGTTATTTTCTTGGCCACCACATGCATGCCTTTGAAAAACCTGTATTTCTGTTGTTAGAAAAAAAGTGTCATATAAATGTTGGCCTAAGCAGTGGTGGGTTTCAAATATGTGAACAACCAGTTCTCTGTGTGGATGCCATTTCCGGAGATCCATTCTGGGTCTGGGCAACAAAAAATTAGCTACCGGTTCTATCAAACCTCTGTGAACCGGCTGAATCCCACCACTGGGCCTAAATAGTAGTTTTTACAGATATCTGGTAAGCATAACCATAGATGAAGTTCAGTAGAAGCCCTGCTGCTTATAAGACTGCAGATGAAGCTTTTTGTGGTTATTGCTTTGAAGGGATCACAAGAAAGTTCCTTGTGGAACCTTTCACACGTATAAAGGATGGGACTTCCAGATCCAGACAGACAGGCAGGTACCAGCCATTCAACTAGACATTATGGTGGTAGACACGGACCAGAAGACAGAAGTGGTGATAGGCTGGTGCCAAGTGACAGCAACATCAGCAGTATGAGAAACTGGAGAAGTCCCAGGTCCTGAAGGAGGAACTAGAGAGGATGGGGAAAGAAAAGGCTAAAGTGCTCCTAGTGGTGGTAGGAACATTTGAGTCTGTGATACCTAAAATGGGAGAAGGGATTCTATGGATCCCAGAAACATAATCAGTGCTCTCTGTGCAGAAGAATTCAGAACTAGGAACAGCCAAGATCCAGAAAGAGCTAACAGTTAAAAATTGACTGCTTTAACTAAAGAAAAGAAAGCAACTTTTCTTCTGCTTGAAAATTGCTTGAGGTGGAAAAAAAGTGATATAGTGACTTTAGGTTTTGCTGATTAGATAGGTTTGTGTTATAGAAATGGCTAGTATATATTATCATGTAAAAACAAAGTGTTGAGGTTCTATGTTATTACTTTATTCTACTCCACTAAAGAGAGTTGAAAGTCAATGCTTTTCTTTTATTTTCCCCCTTTCACCCATATTTTTCCTTTTCCTCCCTTTCTCTTTATTTTCATTTTTCTTTGTGTTTTATATTTTGATCAACTAATGAAGATTTCAATACAAAAAAAGAAAAAGAAATGGGCCATCAATACTCTATATTTGTGTGTATCTCTGGGGTCAGCAATTCACTGTGATAAACCACGATTAGCCACTCCCTAGGCTACAGCAGATGAAGGATACAAATTCCTGGTTAATCAGGTGATATCTGACATCACAACCATACAGCTTCACTATTACACATCCTGTAGGACATCAAAATGTCATCACTGACTTCCCATCAAGGTCTGGGAAGGACACAGAGCTGGGACTAGCCTTATACAAAGTAAAGAAAAACAAATCAAAGTTTAATGATGTTTATTAAAAAGGGTGAGGTATGGGAGAGGACACTGTATCTTTAAGATGGCCAGCACCTGTGTTGTTTTTACCCTGTCTCTTTAAGACCTCAGTGTCATGGTTTCGATAGATGAGACCAGTAGAAATAACAATTCCGAGGCAATTGCTTTCCTCAAAGAACACATTTAATGGCTATATAGTATTGGCACGAACAAAAGTGAAACCAAGACTGAAAGTTCCTCCTCCCCAAGGTTACAAAGTAACCATTTGAACTTTCCACCCCTGCAATTGTCATAAATCACAATCCCCAATTAATTACTTTGGCGGGCTTTCTAATGGAAGCTTCAGCCCATCAAAACTTAGGTGGCTTGACCTTGGTTCCCACAGAACAGTTATTGTTATGTCTAAACTAAAAGAATACATTTCCCGCCCCATTGCTGTGGCAATTGAAAACGAAGTGAAGATGGCTACAGCCAAATTCCTTTGAAATTTCACACTCTCCTTAGCCAGTTCAACTGCTTTGGTTATAAAAACTGAACGGAGAGGCGGTGTGGAGTTGTTGATGTTTTGGAGAAAGGGAAGGAAGTGTGTTTGTTTGCAAAAGCAACCTAAAGAAGCCCAAGGCAGATAGAAAAAGTTACTGCTCTTCAGAAGTAGGACTCACAAGGAGTAGAAATCAGAGTGATAGAAGGAGAAAGTGGTAAGAAGTGGAGGACAATGCAGTGAGTACTAGCGTATGAGTGTTTCTGTGTTTGTGGTCTAAGCCAGAGCTTTTCAATGGTGGTACACACACCACTGGTGGTACTTTAGCACCTGGGTGGTGGTACACGAGGCCTAGCTAAATGTAGTGGGGGAGGGAACCAGTTAATGTGGACCTGCACAGACCTGGAGGAGATCAGCTGGAGCTGCAGAGCTTGGCAGAATCCCCAGGATCTGTGCACGTGGCGACATGGCAATTGGAGCTTCCGGCACATCGGGAGGAGAAAAGGAGGAGGAGAACAGAGAGAAGAGAAGGTATAAGGTATAAGACCAAGAAGAGAAGAGGCTTTTCTTACAGAAGCAGTGAGGAGTGACACAGCGAGAGGCCTGTTTTCAGAGGAACAGCAAGCGAGTGGCTTGGTTTGGGGGGAAGGGCAAGCAAGCGAGCAGCGTGTTTATCAAGCACATGTTTTCAGGCAAAGGTTGAGTTATCAAGTGGCGTGTTTATCAAGCATGTGTTGTCAGGCAATGGTTGAGTTAGTGAGTGAGTGAGCTGGGCAGGAACCCAGGAGAGCAGCCACAGCCGATCCGTGCTTCTGTGGAGCCTCCCAGAAGCATGGATCAGCTATAGCCCGGTGCTGATCCTGGTGCTTCTGTTAAATTAGCAAGCAGCATGTTTTCCAGCGAAGCACAAGCAAGTGAGCTGGGCAGTGCAGCCTCCCAGAAACTTTTAACCATTATTGCAGTGTCAAGCAGAATTCAACATCCCAGTCTCAAAGTTTTTTGTTTTAAATGTGATTGATGAATATGTAATTACTGTATATAGAGCCTGAAAAGTGATTCTGACCAAGGGACATATTTTGTCACTCAGTGTTCTGCTACACTGAAACCCCAAATAGATTAAAAAAATAATATGGCATTTCACTTTATCTTTAATTAATATTCAGTACAGTTAATAATTATTCTCCGTTTACATATTGAGGAGATAGCCCCCCCCCAAATTAACTCTATCATTATATTACATGGTAGTACATTCCATCCCATTCTATTAATTATAAAAACTGAACCAATAGTCATCTCGTAACACTTGATTGTATTTAAACTTCACTGCTTTTTAGAACTACATACCAATGCTATCCAAGGAATAGCCTACTTTACTTGAGAGACACTCAGTAATGGCAGTGCTAGTGCTTCAATATCCTCTGAATTTTCTTGTGCACATTCATAATCATACCCAGGGAAAAAATGCAGGATAGATCTGTCACCTTCTTATGACCCCGCAATCAAGTAAGTGTTAAATGCAGACACCTTCAATAGTGTCTAGTTTTCTTTTCCTTTCCTTTCCTTTTTCTTTTTCTACTTGCTGATCCAGCCTACAGCTTGGAGATCTCCAGGTGGTCCCCCATCCAACCACTAACCAACACTGACCCTGATTAGCTTGCTAAAAAAAGCCAAGATGGGTTAATTGAAATGCCAAGTATTCAGATCAGTAATTTCTTTTATTGAAAATTTTTATTTTTTAAAACATATAATCATTTATAAAAATACAATAAAATTTTAAAATAGAGAACCCCCCCTTACCCTCCCTCCCACCCCCACCCCCCCTCCCTTCACTTCCCAGAGCAGAATACAGGGTTAAGAAAAAAAAGAAAAAGAAAATTATAATAATTTAAAAAAAGAAAAAAAAAGAGAAAGAAAAAAAAATATCATAATTAACCTTTAACTCCATAACTTATAAAACAATTCTCTATAATATTTGATATTCATTCATAAAATAAATAAAACTTTTTAATTCCATATTTTTTCTGAATATAATCTATCCACCTTCCCCATACAGTAATATATCTTTCTTGTGTATGATCCTTTAAATAAGCAGAAATTTTTGCCATTTCTGCAAAACTAGATACTTTAAATATCCATTCTTCTAAAGTAGGCAAAGAATCTTTCTTCCAATATAGACCTACTAGTAACCTTGCTGCAGTTAATAAATTCAACATCAAAGTAGTTTCTTTTTCATTTAAGTCAACAAAAATACCAAGTAAAAATAGTTGAGGAGTAAACTTTATCTTCAGATCAGTAATTTCAAAGAAACTTTTCTTCTTCTTCTTCTTCTTCTTCTTCTTCTTCTTCTTCTTCTTCTTCTTCTTCTTCTTCTTCTTCTTCTTCTTCTTCTTCTTCTTCTTCTTCTTCTTCTTCTTCTTCTTCTTCTTCTTCTTCCTCCTCCTCCCCTGCTCCCTCCCCTATTTGTCCTCTGTTTCTTCCTCCTCTTCTTTCTTCTCCGCTTCCTCTTTCTTCTCCCTCCTCTCCTCCTCCTCTTCTTCTTTCTCCTCCTCCCCTTCCTCCTCCCCTCCTGTTTCTCCTTTTTTCTTCTGCCTTTTCCTCTTTTTTCTCCTCTCCTCTCCTTTCTCTTTTTCTTCTTCTCCCTCATCTCCTCCTTGTCTTCTCCCTTCTCCTCCCCCCTTCTCGTTCCACTCTGATCAGCTGTAAAACCACATTTCTGGAATTCGGGTTAGTTTGGGGTAAATATTCAGGCAGCCAGAGTTTGTTTTCCAAATCTGGATGAAGGAAGTTTAGAAAGCTTCAAATGGGAGGGCTTCCCTTTTCCTAGATATCAGGCTGAGGGATAGGAAAATCTGTTTTTGTTTGGGGGACGGAGGGGCTCCATTGGATGTGGCTTTTGGTGGTCTTTTGTGGGGGGAAGAGTGGAGGGTTAATGGCAGAGAGGCAGGCACATGTTTCCCATTATAAGTGTGGTAAGTGGGTACACCTTTTTCCTGGGTTTTTTTTTTTTTTTTGGTCATTAAGTTTTTCACACCTTGCTAAGCCACTGGTGGTACTCATGTCCTAAAGGTGATACAGTCTGTGAAAAAGTTGAAAAGCCCTGGTCTAAGCCCTGTGTGGTTGTGTTGGATCTTGGATACAGAGCCCGATGGATTAGTAGATGTAAAAGAACTTGTGACATTCTTACATCTTTTTGAAGAGAAGCTGAAAATTGCTGTTCTTTCCTTGCAAGAGTCGTTGGACAAACCAGCTATTTCTTGGGGTTCAATGAACTGACTGCCTAGTTCTGAGCAAAGGCCATAATACTATGACCAAAAAGCTCAGTTTTAATTCTTCAGTTCTCATCCTGGAGACCCCGTTTGACCCACCGAGTCGCGAAGGGCAACTGAGTTGTCATTGTCTTTCCTCAACGGGATTCGTGGTTTAAATTTATCCAAAACATTTTAAATCGAATCTGGCAATCTCATCTCACAGCATAGACTAAAGCAAGAGGAATTGCTTTTACAGAAGAACAAATAATGTTATGTAGAAGAATGTTATATATATAGTATGTACAAGTAAAGATTTCGCCTGTCCAGTTGTATCTGACTCTAGGGGACGGTACTCATCTCTGTTTCTTACTTGTGGCAGTCACCATTGTCTGAAGACATTTTGATGCTTATGTGGACTGAGGTGCACAGAATGCTGTAATCTCCCCACCTAAATGGTACCTATTTATCTGCTTGCATTTGCACGCTTTTCAACTGATTAGGGGACTGGAGACCAAAACATATGAAGAATGGTTGCAAGAATTGGGTGTGTCTAGTCTAGTCGAAAGAAGGACTATGGGTGTTCCAATATCTAAGGGGCTTCCACAAAGAAGAGGGAGTCAAGCTATTCTCCAAAGCATCTGAAGGCAGGACAAGAAATGAATCAAGGAGAGAACCAACCTACAATTAAGGAGAAATTTCCTGACAGTTAGAATTATTATCCACTGGAATGACTTGTCTCCAGAAACTTTGCGTCTGCCAACCCTGGGAATTTTAAAGGAGAGATTGGACAACCATTTGTCTGAAATGGTATAGAAATTTCTGCTTGAGCAGGAGGTTGGACTAGAAAACCTCCAAGGTCCCTTCCAATTCAGTTATTCTGTTAAAAAGAAAGGGAGAAGTCTTCTACCTGAGGACAGTTCAAGAAACGGGAGGAGATCTGGGGTTGGTGCCAAAGTTAGACAATTTCTGTGGATTAAATGAACGCAGGACCTTTTCATCTTTTATTGACAACATGATTTCCACTGTTGGTGAATAAATAACCCAAAGGGACAGAAAATGCATACCAGGAAGTATACGATGTATGCATTTATGAGATGGAAGGGCAAGGTTGGGTATTCAAACTGTCATTCTATGCAGCCGGGCTCTGCCCACCTTGAAAAATGATTGGACAGACATTCCTGGGAGCACACTCAAAAGTCTGAGCAGATCACATCCCTACTAGTAAACTTTTTAAACTTTTAAACTTTTTAAAAAGAGGAATACATTTTTGCATTTGGTATTTTTGCATTTGAGTTTTTGACAGGCACTGCTCCGAATTACCTTCTCAAGGCAGATCCTCCAGAGGGCCACGCAGAAGGTGATTCTCCGGTAATGATCAGAGACAATATTGAAGCCTCATGGGTAATTAAAAAGGAGTTTTACAAGTGTTTCAGAATTTTTTTGTTTATGGATGCCTTCTGTGTTGTTTTGCAGAACCTCCTGGCACACAATTGTGTTCCTTGAAGAAGAGATCACTTTTTTTCTAACTTCTGTGTCTAACTCATCATCATGCAGCTTCTCCTGGGACTTTTCTTCTTCTCCATCCTCCTGACTACAGGTAAGGTCAGCATTGTCCTCCTGGGGGGGGGTGTCAATGGAACTAAGGGGGGGGGGTCTTCCACCCTGGCCAATTGAGCTTCATCTAGACACTGTGAAAAGCCTTGAGAACTCCTCAAAAATGGAGTGGTTTGCTGGAAAAAAAAAGGTGTAGGGTCAGAGTAGACCGAAGTTTATCGAAAAGAATTTAACTCAAGAGAGAATTAACTACACTCATGGTCTTTCATATGACCACGTTAGCCCCAGAATAACCAGTAAGCAAAATAAGCACATGTTTAGGACACCAAGGAAAAGGAGGCACGACAGAGATTTCCTTAATTTTAATTAGTTAATTTTTCTTAAAATATTTCATTGCCACTCTTCACTTTAGTTGGCGTTTTTTTCTCACTTTCTTTCTCTGCTTTGTTCGACTTCAACCTGCATTGTTAAAAGAATGTTTTCCTTTCATTGCAGATGTCCATTCTTGGGACATGAGTTGGCCTTAATCACACCCTGGGTCAGGGTGAGGGTGCTGACGTGGGCCATTCATTTATTTATTAAATTTGTTTTTCCACCTACCTCACTACAAGGTGAGCTTCAAGACCACATAACACGACCAGAATGTCTCTCTTTAAAAGTGAAATTTTAAACCCTGCTACTTCTCAAATTTTCTCTTCAGCTTTATAGGTGAAAAAAAGCTTCAGATTTTTCATTCATCAAATTTATGTACCACCCATCTCACTCTCACAGTGACTCTAAATGGTTTACAGTGTAATAGTTTTTATGAAAGAACCAACGGTCAGTTTAGGAAAACAACAAACTTCCTACACCTTCTTTCAAAAGCAGACTCCATTTTATATATACTGCTCAAAAAAATAAAGGGAACACAAATGTATAGGAGCCTATATGTTTGTGTTTCCTTTATTTTTTTGAGCAGTATATTTACTAACCAAAGAGAGAAGCAACCTAGAACTAAGGAGAAACTTCCTGACAGTTAGAACAATTAACCAGTGGAACAACCTGCCTCCAGAAGCGGTGAAGGCTCCAACATTGGAAGTTTTTAAAAAGAGATTGGACAGCCATTTGTCCGAAATGGTATAGGATTTCCTGCCTGAGCAGGGGGTTGGACTACATGACCTCCAAGGTCCCTTCCAACTTTATTATTATTATTATTATTATTATTATTATTATTATTATTATTATTATTATTATTATTATCATTTCCACACTTGGAACTGGACCTCATTTTTCTTTGAATACTCCCTTCCTATTTCTAACTCGCTACTTGTGCCAGGAATTTTGATAGAGTCCAGATGGAAGAAAGAAGATTTGTTTTTGCTTTCTGTCTAGCCTGTGCTTCTTCTTACTTATTCTTCCCCTCCCTGCCAACTACAACTACCTCATGATGGCTTCTGCTAAACTTTCTTTGCAGAAGAATTCTTCATCTTCAATTTACCTCAATATGGCTCTGATTGTGTCTCAGGATCATCTCCACTGGCCAGCCCAGCTATGGCTGCTGAAAGTCCTGGTTCAGTTATATTGAAGGTGTCTCTTTCCCTATCCCTGCCTTACTCTCTCAGCTCCTTTCCAATTTTTCTTTTCTTTACAGGTAGTTCCATACAGTGTTCATATTGTTTTGTAATTAATGGATATTGCTCTGGTGGAAAGCAAGAATGTCCTGCTGGGAGTGATGTCTGTATGACTTACAGTTTGCAGAGTAAAGGAGACAAACGTAAGTAAGACAAGCCACATAAATCTGATTGATCCTATGCCATCTAATTGGTGAGGGTCCTTCAGGTCTTCCAACAGTGCCCCCATCCTCACTGTAATAAAGTCCATCCTTGCTGCTGGTTGTTCTCCTTTCTTCTGCTTTTCCTGCAATAAGGGGTTCTCCAGACAGCTGGGTCTTCACATCATTTTCTGAAGTATAATAATTTGAGCCTGGTCATGTAAATAGTATTGGAAACCGGTATTTGGGTGGGTGGAGGAATTCCTTTAAGTCTGAATGATGGTTCCGATCATTGACATTTCCCTCTTCCTTCAGAGATACATGCCAACTTTGAAGCTTGCACTACGAAAAAGGATTGTAAGAAAATGGAAGATCTGAAAGGGAAACCTTTCCTTGACATGGCTACCATACCTGATTTCCCAGGAGAAGCTATCATTAAAGAGGTGGTCTGCAGCAAAGCCCCTCCCTCCTTTGCATTCTTCTTCTCAGCATTCCCAGGGCTCCTCCTGATGAAGCTTCTCTTCTAAAGCTCTTCCTTCCACCCAAGAAGTTGTTCCTTTGATATTATGCTTAATCCTTTTCCAAATAGAAACCAGTTAAGCAGACAGAAATATAATCAGCACCTTGGATTGTGTGTTTGAACTAAAAAAGATGGTGTAATTCAAATAAAAAAAAAACCCAATAAATAATCAGATTCCAGTCCCTGCCTGATTATTTTGATTTGGTGCAGAAAAAAAATCCACATTTTCTATTTTGCAGGGATTGTTTGTCATTCCCTTCTTCCAGATTTGATTTGATATTGATTTTTATTAATTAATATATGAAATGTAGAACCTGCCCATCTCACAGGGATTAGACATTTCAACCATTATATGTTACTTTATTGATCAGCTGTTTATTTATTTTATTTTATTTTGTTGGTGCCATCTGAATCCTGAAGGTAACTCTGGGCGTCCCTTGTCTTCTTTCCAATTTAGCCTACAGCCCTGCAGTTTCTCTAGTATTCTGTTATTCGAGAAAGTTTCACAAACACATCTAAGGTGTTGAGCTGTCTCAAAGGTTCAGGGGCGTGCTTGTGCTCTCGCATACACACTCTGACACACAAACATCCAAAAGAGCAAACAACAAGCTCCATTCTATAATCTTAATCAGTGGATTACTACCCACTTGAAAACTTGCATTGCTGCCTGAAACTGACACAACTCTATCAGTTAAAAGGGCAGGTTATTTTCTTGGCCACTACATGCATGCCTTTGAAAACCTGTATTTCTATTGTTAGAAAAAAAGTGTCATATAAACATAGGCCTAAGCAGTGGTGAGATTCAAATAATTGAACAACCGGTTCTCTGTGTGAATGCCACTTCCGGAAGTCCTTTCTGGGCCTTGGCAACAAAAAATTAGTTACCGATTCTGCTGAAGTGGTGTGAACTGGCTAAATCTCACCACTGGGCCTAAGTAGTTTTTACAGATATCTGGTAAGCATAACCATAGATGAAGTTCAGTAGAAGCCCCACTGCTTGCAAGACTGCTGATGAAGCTTTCTTTGGTTATTGCTTTGAAGGGATCACAAGAAAGTTGCTTATGGAACCTTTCACACATATAAAGGATGGGACTTCTAGATCCAGACAGACAAGAAGGTACCAGATATTCAACCAGACATTATGGTCGTAGATACAGACCAGAAGACAGAAGTGGTGATAGGCTTGATGGTGCCAAGTGACAGTATGAGAAACTGGAGAAGTCTCAGGGCCTGAAGGAGGAACTAGAGAGGAGACCAGTAGAAATAAAAATTCCAAGGTAATTGCTTTCCTCAAAGAACACATTTAATGGCTACATAGTATCGGCACGAACAAAGGTGAAGCCAAGACTGGAAGTTCCCCCTCCCCAAGGTTACAAAGTAGCCAGTTGAACTTCCCACCCCTGCAATTGTCAAAAATCACAATCCCCACTTAATTACTTTGGCGGGCTTTCTAATGGAAGCTTCAGCCCACCAAAACTTGACCTTGGTTCCCATAGAACAGTTATTGTTATGTCTAAACTAAAAGAATACATCTCCTCCCTCCCATTGCTGTGGCAACCGAAAACATAGTGAAGATGGCTGCAGACAAGTTCCTTTGAAAGTTGACACTCTCCTTAGGCAGTTCAGCTACTTTGGTTATAAAAGCTGAATGGAAAGGTGGTATGGAGGTGTTGGTGTTTGGGACAAAGGGAAGGAGGTGTGTTTGTTTGCAAAAGCAACCTAAAGAAGCCCAAGGCAGATAGAAACAGTTACTGCTCTTCAGACGTAGGACTCACAAGGAGTAGAAATCAGAGTGATAGAAGGAGAAAGAGGTAAGAAGTGGAGGATAATGCAGTGAGTACTAGTGTATGAGTATTTTTGTGTTTGTGGACTAAGCCCTGTGTGGTTATGTTGGATCTTGGATACGGAGCCCTCTGGCTTAGTAAATGTAAAAAAACTTGTGACATTCGTACATCCTTTTGAAGAGAAGCTGAAAGTTGCTGTTCTTTCCTTGCAAGAGTCGTTGGACAAACAAGCTGTTTCTTGGGGTTCAATGAACTGACTGCCTACTTCTAAGCAAAGGCCACAATACTATGACCTAAAAGGTCAGTTTTAATTCTTCAGTTCTCATCCTGGGGATCCCGTTTGGCCCACCGAGTAGCGGAGGGCAACTGAGTTGTCATTGTCTTTCCTCAACGGGGTTCGTGGTTTAAATTTATCCAAAACATTTTTAACTCAAATCCGGCAATCTCATCTCACAGCATAGACTAAAGCAGGAGGAATTGCTTTTACAGAAGAACAAATATTGTTATGTAGAAGAATGTTATATATAGTATGTAAAAGAAAAGTTAAAGATTTCGCCTGTCCAGCTGTATCTGACTCTAGGGGACGGTACTCATCTCTGTTTCTTACTTGTGGCAGCCACCATTGTCTGAAGACATTTTGATGTTTATGTGGACTGAGGTGCACAGAATGCTGTAATCTCCCCACCTAAATGGTACCTATTTATCTGCCTGTATTTGCACGCTTTCCAACTGATTAGGGGACTGGAGACCAAAACATATGAATAACGGTTGCAGGAATTGGGTGTGTCTAATCTAGTGGAAAGATGGCTGTTCCAATATCTAAGGGGCTGCCACAAAGAAGAGGGAGTCAAGCTATTCTCCAAAGCATCTGAAGGCAGGACAAGAAATGAATTAGGAAAGAGAACGAATTAAGGAAAAATTTCCTGACAGTTAGAAAAATTATCCACTGGAATGACTTGTCTCCAGAAACTGTCGCCAACCCTGGGAATTTTAAAGGAGAGATTGGACAACCATTTGTCTGAAATGGTATAGAGATTTCTGCTTGAGCAGGAGGTTGGACTAGAAGACCTCCAAGGTCCCTTCCAATTCAGTTATTCTGTTAAAAAGAAAGGGAGAAGTCTTCTATCTGAGGAGAGTTCAAGAAATGGGAGGAGATCTGGGGTTGGTGCCAAAGTTAGACAATTTCTGTGGATTAAATGAACGCAGGACCTTTTCATCTTTTATTGACAACATGATTTGCACTGTTGGTGAATAAATAACCCAAAGGGACAGAAAATGCATACTAGGAAGTATACGATGTATGCATTTATGAGATGGAAGGGCAAGGTTGGGTATTCAAGCTGTCATTCTATGCAACCGGGCTCTGCCCACCTTGAAAAATGATTGGACAGACATTCCTGGGAGCACACTCAAAATCCTGAGCAGATCACATCCATGCTAGTAATGTTTCTGATCTGTGAACAAACTTTTTAAAAAGAAGAATACATTTTTGCATTTGAGTTTTTGACTGGCACTGCTCCGAAAGGCAAATTACCTTCTCAAGGCAGGTCCTCCACAACTCCATGCAGAAGGTGATTCTCCAGTAATGATCAGAAACAACATTGAAGCCTCATGGGTAATTAAAAAGGAGTTTTACAAGTGTTTCAGAATTTATGGATGCCTTGTATGTTGTTTTGCAAGACCTCCCGGAAACACAATTGTATTCCTTGAAGAAGAGATCACTTTTCTTCTAACTTTTGTGCCTAACTCATCATTATGCAGCTTCTCCTGGGGCTTTTCTTCTTCTCTGTCCTCCTGACTACAGGTACTGTCAGCATTGTCCTCCTGGGGGGTGTCAATGGAACTAAGGGGGTGGGTGTTCCATCCTGGCCAATTGGGGTTCGTCTAGACACTGTGAAAAGCCTTGAGAACTCCTCAAAGATGGAGTGGTTTGCTGGAAAAAAAATAGGTGTAGGGTCAGAGTAGACCAAAGTTTATCAAAAACAATTTAACTCGAGAGAATTAACTACACTTGTGGCCTTTCATATGACCACGTTAGCCCCAGAATAACCAGTAAGCAAAATAAGCACATGTTTAGGACACCAAGGAAAAGGAGGCACCACAGATTTCCTCCCTGGTTACATGGATGAAATAGTTAATTTTTCTTAAAATATTTCATTGCCACTCTTCACTTTATTTGGTGTTTTTTCTCACTTTCTCTCTCTGCTTTGTTCGACTTTAACCTGCATCGTTAAAAGAATGTTTTCCTTTCATTCCAGATGTCCATTCTTGGGACATGAGTGGGCCTTAATCAAACCTTAATCCAGCAATGGGTAAAGTAACTGAGTGAGGTTCCTGAGGTGGGCCATTCATTTATTTATTAAATTTGTTTTTCCACCTATCTCACCACAAGGTGAGCTTCAAGACCACATAACCTGACCAGAACACCTCTCTTTAAAAGTGAAATTTTATAACCCTGCTACCTCTCAAATTTTCTCTTCAACTTGATACATGAAAAAAGGCTTCAGATTTTTCATTCATCAAATTTATGTACCACCCATCTCACTCTCACAGTGACTCTAAATGGTTTATAGCATAATAGTTTTTATGAAAGAAACAACGGTCAGTTTAGGAAAAAAACAAACTTTCTAGACCTCCTTTCAAAAGCAGCCTCCATTTTATTCCCAGCTTGGAACTGGACCTGATTTTTCTTTGAACACTTCCTTCCTATTTCTAACTCGCTACTTGTGCCAGGAATTTTGATAGAGTCCAGATGGAAGAAAGAAGATTTGTTTTTGCTTTCTGTCTAACCTGTGCGTCTTCTTACTTATTCTTCCCCTCCCTGCCAGGATTAAGTAGCGTACAATTACCTCATGATGGCTTCAGCTAAACTTTCTTTGTAGAAGAATTCTTCATTGTCAATTTACCTCAGTATGGCTCTGTTTGTGTCTCAGCATCATCTCCACTGGCCAGCCCAGCTATGGCTGCTGAAAGTCCTGGTTCAGTAATATTGAAAGTGTCTCTGATTCCCTGTCCCTGCCTTATTCTCTCAGCTCCTTTCCACTTTTTCTTTTCTTTACAGGTAGTTCCCTACAATGTTCATATTGTACTGTAGTTAATGGATATTGCTCTGGTGTAAAGCAAGAGTGTCCTAATGGGACTGATGCCTGTACGACTTACAGTTTGCAGAGTAAAGGAGACAAACGTAAGTAAGACAAGCCACATAAATCTGATGGATCCTATGCCATCTAATCAGTGAGGGTCCTTCAGGTCTTCCAACAATGCCCCCATCCTCCCTGTAATAAAGTCCATCCAACTTGCTGCTGGTTGTTCTCCTTTCTTCTGCTTTTCCTGCAATAAGGGGTTCTCCAGACAGCTGGGTCTTCACATCATTTTCTGAAGAATAATAATTTGAGCCTGGTCATATAAATAGTATTGGAAACTGGTATTTGGGTGGGTGGAGGAATTCCTTTAAGTCTGAATGATGGTTCCGATGACTGACGTTTCCCTCTTCCTTCAGAGATATATGCCAACTTTGAAACTTGCACTACAAAAAAGGATTGTAAGAAAATGGAAGATCTGGTAGGGAAGACTCTCCTTGAAAACGTGGCCCCCATACGTGGTTTCGAAGGATTTATAGTTAAGGAGGTGGTCTGCAGCAAAGCTCCTCCCTTATTTGCATCGTTCTTCCCAGCATTCCTTGGGCTCCTCCTGATGAAGCTTCTCTTCTAAAGCTCTTCCTTCCACCCAAGAAGTTGTCCCCTTTTCTTGGCCTGTACATCCTCTCAAGCTGATCAGGCAGGATCTTTGATATGATGCTTAATCTTTTCCCAAATAGAAACCAGTTAAGCAGACAGAAATATAATCAGCACCTTGGATTGTGTGTTTGAACTAAAAAAGATGGTGAAATTCAAATAATCTCCCCAATAAATAATTGGATTACAGTTGTTGCCTGATTCTTTTGATTGGGTTTAAAAAAAATCCACATTTTCTATTTTGCAGGGATTGTTTGCCATTCCCTTCTTCCAAATTTGATTTGATATTGATTTTTATTAATTAATACATGAAATGTAGAATCTGCCCATCTCACAGGGATTAGATGTTTCAACTATTATATGTTACTTTATTGATCAGCTGTTTATTTATTTTATTTTATTCTGTTGGTGCCATCTGAATCCTGAAGGTAACTCCGGGCATGACTTGTCTTCTTTCCAATTTAGCCTACAGCCCTGCAGTTTCTCTAGTATTCTGTTATTCAAGAAAGTTTCACAAACACATCTAAGGAGTTGAGCTGGCTCAAAGGTCCAGGGGCGTGCTTCTGCTCTCCCATACACACACTGACACACATACATACAACAGAACAAACAACAAGCTCCACTTTATAAGCTTAATCAGTGGATTACTACCCACTTAAAAGCTTGTGTTGCTGCCTGAAACTGACACAACTCTATCAGTTAAAAGGGCAGGTTATTTTCTTGGCCACCATATGCATGCTTTTGAAAACCTGTATTTCTGTTGTTAGAAAAAAAAAGTGTCATATAAACGTAGGCCCAAGTAGTGGTGGGATTCAAATATGTGAACAACCATCCATTCTCTGTGTGGATGCCACTTCCAGAAGTCCATTCTGGGCCTTGGCAACAAAAAATTAGTTACCGATTCTGCCAAAGTGATGCGACACGGCTAAATCCCACCACTGGGCCTAAGTAGTTTTTACAGATATCTGGTAAGCATAAGCACAGATGAAGTTCAGTAGAAGCCCCACTGCTTACAAGACTGCGGATGAAGCTTTCTTTGGTTATTGCTTTCAAGGGATCACAAGAAAGTTGCTTATGGAAACTTTCACATGTATAAAGGATGGGACTTCCAGATCCAGACAGACAGGCAGGTACCAGCCATTCAACCAGACATTATGGTGGTAGACACGGACCCAGAAGACAGAAGTGATGATAGGCTTCATGGTGCCAAGTGACAGCAACATCAGCAGTATGAGTAACTGGAGAAGTCCCAGGTCCTGAGGGAGGAATTAGAGAGGATGGGGAAAGAAAAGGCTAAAGTGCTCCTAGTGGTGGTAGGAACATTTGAGTCTGTGATACCTAAAATGGGAGAAGGGATTCTATGGATCCCAGAAACATAATCAGTGCTCTCTGTGCAGAAGAATTCAGAACTAGGAACAGCTAAGATCCAGACAGAGCTAACAGTTAAAAATTGACTGCTTTAACTAAAGAAAAGAAAGCAACTTTTCTTCTACTTGAAAATTGCTTGAGGTGGAAAAAAGTGATATAGCGACTTTGGGTTTTGCTGATTAGATAGGTTTGTGTTATAGAAATGGCTAGTATATATTATCATGTAAAAACAAAGTGTTGAGGTTCTATGTTATTACTTTATTCTACTCCACTAAAGAGAGTTGGAAGTCAATGCTTTTCTTTTATTTTCCCCCTTTCACCCATATTTTTCCTTTTCCTCCCTTTCTCTTTATTTTCATTTTTCTTTGTGTTTTATATTTTGATCAACTAATGAAGATTTCAATACAAAAAAAGAAAAATAAATTGGCCATCAATACTCTATATTTGTGTGTATCTCTGGGGTTAGGAATTCACTGTGATAAACCACGATTAGCTACTCCCTAGGCTACAGCAGATGAAGGATACAAATTCCAGGTTAATCAGGTGATACCTTACATCACAACCATATCGCTTCACTATTACACATCCTGTAAGACATCAAAATGTCAGCACTGACTTCCCATCAAGGTCTGGGAAGGACACAGAGGTGGCATTGGCCTCATACAATGTAAAGAAAAACAAATCAAAGTTTAATGATGTTTATTAAAAAGGGAAAGATGTGGGAGAGGACGGGCTACCTGCAAGATGGCCAGCACCCGTGTTGTTGTTACCCTGTCCCTTTAAGACCTCAGTGTCATGGTTTTGATAAATGAGACCAATAGAAATAAGAATTCCAAGGCAATTGCTTTCCTCAAAGAACACATTTAATGGCTACATAGTATTGGAACGAACAAAGGTGAAACCAAGACTAAAAGCTCCCCCTCCCCAAGGTTATAAAGTAACCAGTTGAACTTCCCACCCATGCAATTGTCACAAACCACAATCCCCAATTAATTAATTTGGCGGGCTTTCTAATGCAGGGCTTTTCAACCAATGGTATGGGTACCACCTGTAGTACATTGGCACCTGGCAGGTGGTATGTGACCATCCTAGAAAAGTGGTAGTGGGGGAGGGGAATGAGCTGAACTGGTGGCAGCACTGCACAAGCCTGATCGAGAGATGGCTGGAGCTGCAGGGCTGTCAGGGCTCAGCGGAAGCTGGAGCTCGGCGCTGATCCTGGCACTTCTGCTGAGCCCAGAAGAAGCGCCGATCAGCTGGAATATTGCAGCCTCTCCAGGGTCTTGTGATTTACATTCAGATGCTTGGCAACTGATTCATATTTATGACAGTCACAGTGTCCCAGGGTCATGTAAAGTGACCAAAACGTGCTGCCAATCCTCACCAGAAATGCTCATAACAATAAAAACCTCGGACCAGGAGGAAGAGCGCAGCCGGGTGGGTAGGCAGGTGTCTTGCTCGGCTGTTGCTTGGGAGGCACTTTTTTCAATGCCACTGTAATTTTGAACAGTCACTAAGCGAACTGTTGTAAGTCGAGGACTACCTGTACTTTATCACTTTTTTCTTTTTTTTTTTTTTGGTCAAGTTTTTGACATCTTGCTAGGTGACTGATGGTACTTGAATATTGCCATATCCTAAAAGTTATACAATGGGTGAAAAGCTTGAAAAGCCCTGTTCTAATGGAAGCTTCAGCCCAGCAAATCTTAGGTAGCTTGACCTTGGTTCCCACAGAACAGTTATTGTTAAGTCTAAACTAAAAGAATAATCTCCCCCCTCCCATTGCTGTGGCAACTGAAAACAAAGTGAAGATGGCTGCAGCCAAGTTTGTTTGAAAGTTGACACTCTCCGTAGCCAGTTCAGCTGGCTTGGATATAAAAGCTGAATGGAAGCTGGTGTGGAGTTGTTGGTGTTTGGGACAAAGGGAAGGAGGTGTGTTTGTTTGCAAAAGCAACCTAAAGAAGCCCAAGGCAGATAGAAACAGTTACTGCTCTTCAGACGTAGGACTCACAAGGAGTAGAAATCAGAGTGATAGAAGGAGGAAGAGGTAAGAAGTGGAGAACAATACAATGAGTACTAGCTTATGACTGTTTCTGTGTTTGTGATCTAAGCCCTGTGTGGTTGTGTTGGATCTTGGATACGGAGCCCGCTGACTTAGTAGATGTAAAATAACTTGTGACATTCTTACATCTTTTTGAAGAGAAGCTGAAAATTGCTGTTCTTTCCTTGCAAGAGTTGTTGGACAAACCAGTTGTTTCTTGGGGTTCAATGAACTGACTGCCTAGTTCTAAGCAAAGGCCACAATACTATGATCTAAAAGGTCAGTTCTAATTTTTCAGTTCTCATCCTGGGGATCCCGTTTGACCCACCGAGTAGCGGAGGGCAACTGAGTTGTCATTGTCTTTCCTCAACGGGGTTCGTGGTTTAAATTTATCCAAAACATTTTTAACTTGAATCCAGCAATCTTGTCTCACAGCATAGACTAAAGCAGGAGGCATTGCCTTTACAGAAGAAAAAAATAATATTATGTAGAAGAATGTTATATATAGTATGTAAAAGTAAAGTTAAAGATTTCGCCTGTCCAGTTGTATCTGACTCTAGGGGATGGTACTCATCTCTGTTTCTTATCTGAGGCAGCCACCATTGTCCAAAGGCATTTCTATGCTCCTGTGGCCAGCATGACTATACACTGAGGTGCACATAATGCTGTAATCTCCCCACCTAAATGGTACCTATTTATCTGCCTGCATTTGCATGCTTTCCAACCGATTAGGGGACTAGAGACTAAGACATATAAAGAGGGGTTGCAGGAATTGGGTATGTCTAGTCTTGTGGAAAGAAGGACTATGGGTGACTTGATAGCAGAGTTCCAATATCTAAGGGGCTGCCACAAAGAAGAGGGTCAAGCTATTCTCCAAAGCATCTGAAGGCAGGACAAGAAACGAATCAAGGAGAGAACGAACCAGAATTAAGGAGAAATTTCCTGACAGTTAGAACAATTATCCACTGGAATGACTTGTCTCCAGAAACTGTGAGGCCGTCAACCCTGGGAATTTTAAAGGAGAGATTGGACAACAATTTGTCTGAAATTGTATAGAGATTCCTGCTTCAGCAGGAGGTTGGACTAGAAAACCTCCAAGGTCCCTTCCAATTCAGCTGTTCTGTTAAAAAGAAAGGAGAACTCTTCTGAGGAGAGTTCAAGAAAAGGGAGATCTGGGATTGATGCCAATGTTAGAGAATTTCTGTGGATTAAGTGAATGTGGGACCTTTTCATCTTTTATTGACAAAATGATTCTCACTGTTGGGGAGTAAATAACCCAAAGGGACAGGACAGCTTGGAAATGAATACCAGGAAGTGTGTGATGTATGCATTTATGAGATGGAAGGACAAGGTTGGGTATTCAAGCTGTCACTCTGTGCAGCCGGGCTGTGCCCACCTTGAAAAATGATTGGACAGATATTCCTCGGAGCACACTCACAAGCCTGATCAGATCACATCCCTGCTAGTAATGTTTCTGATCTGTGAACAAACTTTTTAAAAAGAAGAATACATTTTTGCATTTGAGTTTTTGACTGGCACTGCTCCGAAAGGCAAATTACCTTCTCAAGGCAGGTCCTCCACAACTCCATGCAGAAGGTGATTCTCCAGTAATGATCAGAGACAACCTTGAAGCCTGACGGGTAATTAAAAAGGAGTTTTACAAGTGTTTCAGATTTTCTTTTGTTTATGGATGCCTTGTGTGTTGTTTTGCAGAACCTTCTGGCCACACAATTGTGTTCCTTGACGAAGAGATCACTTTTCTTCTAACTTCTGTGCCTAACTCATCATCATGCAGCTTCTCCTGGGGCTTTTCTTCTTCTCTGTCCTCCTGACTACAGGTACTGTCAGCGTTGTCCTCCTGGGGTGTGTGTGTCAATGGAACTAAGGGGGGGGGGTCTTCTACCCTGGCCAATTGGGGTTCTCCTAGGCACTGTGAAAAGCCTTGAGAACTCCTCAAAGATGGAGTGGTTTCCTGGAAAAAAAGTAGGTGTAGGGTCAGAGTAGACCAAAGTTTATCGAAAAGAATTTAACTCAAGAGAGAATTAACTACACTCATGGCCTTTCATATGACCACGTTAGCCCCGGAATAACCAGTAAGCAAAATAAGCACATGTTTAGGACACCAAGGAAAAGGAGGCACCACAGAGATTTCCTCCCTAGTTACTTGGATGAAATAGTTAAATTTTCTTAACTATTTCATTGCCAATCTTCACTTTAGTTGGTGTTTTTTTTGCACTTTCTTTCTCTGCTTTGTTCGACTGCATCATTACAGATGTCCATTACAACCTGCATCATTACAGATGTCCATTCTTGGGACATGAGTTGGCCTTAATCAAGCCATGGGTCAGGTAATTGAGTGAGGGTCTTGAGATGGGCCATTCATTTATTTATTAAATTTGTTTTTCCACCTATCTCACCACAAGGTGAGCTTCAAGACCACATAACCTGACCAGAATATTTCTCTTTAAAAGTGAAATTTTATAACCCTGCCACCTCTCAAATTTTCTCTTCAACTTGATACATGAAAAAAGGCTTCAGATTTTTCATTCATCAAATTTATGTACCACCCTTTTCACTTTCACAGTGACTCTGAATGGTTTATAGCATAAAAAAACAATGGTCAATTTAGGAAAACAACAAACTTACTAGACTCTCTTTCAAAAGCAGCCTCCATTTTATTCCCAGCTTGGAACTGGACCTGATTTTTCTTTGAATGCGTCCTTCCTATTTCTAACTCTCTACTTGTGCCAGGAATTTTGATAGAGTCCAGATGGAAGAAAGAAGATTTGTTTTTGCTTTCTGTCTAACTTGTGCTTCTTCTTACTTATTCTTCCCCTCCCTGCCAGGATTTAGTAGTGTACAACTACCTCACGATGGCTTCTGCTAAACTTTCTTTGTAGAAGAATTCTTCATCTTCAATTTATCTCAATATGGCTCTGATTGTGTCTCAGCATCATCTCCACTGGCCAGCCCAGCTACGGCTGCTGAAAGTCCTGGTTCAGTAATATTGAAAGTGTCTCTGATTCTCTATCCCTGCCTTACTCTCTCAGCTCCTTTCCAATTTTTCTTTTCTTTACAGGTAGTTCCATACAGTGTCCATATTGTATTGCAGTTAATGGATATTGCTCCGGTTTAAACGAAAAATGTCCTAATGGGACTGATGCCTGTATGACTTACAGTTTGCAACTTAAAGAAAAGAAAGGTAAGTAAGACAAGCCACATAAATCTGATGGATCCTATGCCATCTAATCGATGAGGGTCCTTCAGGTGTTCCAACAATGCCCCCATCCTCCCTGTAATAAAGTCCATCCACCTTTCTTCTGCTTTTCCTGCAATAAGGGGTTCTCCAGAGAGCTGGGTCTTCACATCATTTTCTGAAGAATAATAATTTGAGCCTGGTCATGTAAATAGTATTGGAAACTGGTATTTGGGTGGGTGGAGGAATTCCTTTAAGTCTGAATGATGGCTCTGATCTTTGACGTTTCCTTCTTCCTTCAGAGATATATGCCAACTTTGAAACTTGCTCTACGAAAAAGTTTTGTAAGACAATGGAAGATCTGATAGAGAAGCCTTCCTCTGCAATCGGTGGCATACCTGGTTTCTCAGGAGAAGCTATCGTTAAAAAGGTGGGCTGCAGCAAAGCCCCTCCCTCCTTTGCATCGTTCTTCCCAGCATTCCTTGGGCTCCTCCTGATGAAGCTTCTCTTCTAAAGCTCTTCCTTCCACCCAAGAAGTTGTCGCTTTCCTTGGCCTGTACATCCTCTCAAGCTGATCAGGCAGGATCTTTGATATGATGCTTAATCTTTTCCCAAATAGAAACCAGTTAAGCAGACAGAAATATAATCAGCACCTTGGATTGTGTGTTTGAACTAAAAAAGATGTTGTAATTCAAATAAAAAAAAACCCCAATAAATTCCAGTCCCTGCCTGATTATTTTGATTTAGTAGTAATAGTAGTAAAGTAAAGTTGGAAGGGACCTTGGAGGTCATCTAGTCCAACCCCCTGCTCGGGCAGGAAACCCTACACCATTTCGGACAAATGGCTGTCCAGTCTCTTCTTAAAAACTTCCAGTGTTGGAGCATTTACTGCTTTTGGAGGCAAGCTGTTCCACTGATTAATTGTTCTCACTGTCAGGAAGTTTCTCCTTAGTTCTAGGTTGCTTCTCTCCTTGATTAGTTTCCACCCGTTGCTTCTTGTCCTGCCTTCAGGTGCTTTGGAAAATAGCTTAATTCCCTCTTCTTTATGGCAGCCCCTGAGATATTGGAATACTGCTATCATGTCCCCCCTTGTCATTCTCTTCGTTAAACTAGACATACCCAATTCTCGCAACCGTTCCTTATATGTTTTAGCCTCCAGTCCCCTAATCATCTTGGTTGCTCTTCTCTGTACTCTTTCTAGAGTCTCAACATCTTTTTTACATCGTGGTGACCAAAACTGGATGCAGTATTCCAAGTGTGGCCTTACCAAGGCATTGAAGAGTGGTATTAATACTTCACGTGATCTTGATTCTATCCCTCTGTTAATGCAGCCTAGCACTGTGTTGGCCTTTTTGGCAGCTGCAGCACACTGCTGGCTCATATTTAGGTGATTGTCTACTAGGACTCAGAGGTCCCTCTCACAGTTATTATTATTGAGTGCCACCTATGCTGTACTTGTGCATTTGGTTTTTCTTGCCTAAATGTAGAACCTTGCTTTTTTCACCATTGAATTTCATTTTGTTAGTTAGTGCCCAGTGTTCAAGTCTGTCCAGATCCTTCTGTATCTGAATCCTGTCTTCTGGAGTGTTGGCTATTCCTGCCAGCTTGGTGTCATCTGCAAATTTGATGAGTTCCCCATCTATCCCTTCATCCAAATCGTTTATGAAGATGTTGAAGAGTACTGGGCCCAGAACAGAGCCCTGGGGCACCCCACTACACACTTCCCTCCATATAGATGCAGTTCCATTGAGGACCACTCGCTGAGTACGGCCGGTCAGCCAGCTACGGATCCATCTGGTGGTGATTTGGTGTAGAAAAAAAATCTACATTTTCTATTTTGCAGGGATTGTTTGCCTTTCCCTTCTTCCAGATTTAATTTGATACTGATTTTTATTAATTAATATATGAAATGTAGAACCTGCCCAGCTCACAGGGATTAGACGTTTCAACCATTATATGTTACTTTATTGATCAGCTGTTTATTTATTTTATTTTATTGTGTTGGTGCCATCTGAATCCTGAAGGTAACTCTGGGCATCACTTATCTTCTTTCCAATTTAGCCTACAGCCCTGCAGTTTCTCTAGTTTTCTATTATTCAAGAAAGTTTCACAAACACATCTAAGGAGTTGAGCTGGCTCAAAGGTCCAGGGGCGTGCTTCTGCTCTCCCATACACACACTGACACACATACATCCAAAAGAACAAACAACAAGCTCCACTTTATAATCTTAATCAGTGGATTACTACCCACTTGAAAGCTTGCGTTGCTGCCTGAAACTGACACAACTCTATCAGTTAAAAGGGCAGGTTATTTTCTTGGCCACCACATGCATGCCTTTGAAAACCTGTATTTCTGTTGTTAGAAAAAAAGTGTTATATAAACGTTCGCCCAAGCAGTGGTGGGATTCAAATATGTGAACAACCGGTCCTCTGTGTGGATGCCACTTCTGGAAGTTCGTTCTGGCCCTGGGCAACAAAAAATTAGTTACCGATTCTGCCGAAGTGGTGCAACATGGCTAAATCCCACCACTGGGTCTAAGTAGTTTTTACAGATATCTGGTAAGCATAACCATAGATGAAGTTCAGTAGAAGCCCCATTGCTTACAAGACTGCAGATGAAGCTTTCTTTGGTTATTGCTTTCAAGGGATCACAAGAAAGTTGCTTGTGGAACGTTTCACACATATAAAGGATGGGACTTCCAGATCCAGCCAGACAGGCAGGTACCAGCCATTCAACTAGACATTATGGTGGTAGACACAGACCAGAAGACAGAAGTGGTGATAGGCTTGATGGTGCCAAGTGAGAGCAACATTAGCAGTATGACAAACTGGAGAAGTCACAAGGCCTGAAGGAGGAAGTAGAGAGAATGGGGAAAAAAAGAAGAAAAAAAAATCAAAGAATAATGAGGGCTGAGGTAAGGGAGAGGATAGGTTACCTGCAAGATGTTGACCTGTCCCTTTAAGACTTCTTAGCCATTTCAGTGGGTTTGGTTGTAAAAGCTAAGCAGAGAGTTGGTATTTGGCAGGAAGGGAAGGAGATGTGTTTGTTTGTAAAAGCAGCTGAAAGAAACCCAAGATTGATAGACAAAGCTACTGCCAGTGGTGGCATTCAAATATGTGAACAATCGGTTCTCTATGGATGCCACTTCTGGAAGTCCGTTCTGGGCCTGGGCAACAAAAAATTAGCTACCGGTTCTGCCGAAGTGGTGCAAATTGGCTAAATCCCACCACTGGTTACTGCTCACCAGAAGTGGGGCTCACAAGGAGTAGAAACTGGAGTGGTAGAAGGAGGAAGTGGAAAAAAGTGGAGGAGTGTGCAGTGTGTACTAGCCTTTGAGTGCTCATGTGTTTGTGGCCTAAGCCCTGTATGGTTGTGTTGATTCTCTTGGATATATATAAAAGTGGGTATATGTAAAAGAACTTGTGACATTCTGATATGTTTTTGAAGAGAAGCCGAAAGCTGCTTTTCTTGTCCTCACAGAAAAGAGCCATGGACAAACAGAGCTAATTGCAAAGGCCAGCTGTCTCTCTGGGGTCACTGAATTTAGCGCCCAAGTTTTGAGCAAAGGTTTAACTTCTACGACCCCAAAAGTCATTTCACTATAGAAACATAGCCAGCCATACCAACAGGCTGAAGAACCATGGGCTATCAGGCTGTTGAATGGAACATAATAATTTTATGCATGACAGACCTGAGAAGCCAGCGTGCTGTGCAATCAGCTCACAGGGTGTAATAAGTTGGGGTTTGTAGTCACTGTGAGTTGTGGGGTGGGGGGCACAGAGGGAGGCTCAGTCAATCTCACTGTATACATGTTATACTTCAATAATAATGGTTCGTTCATTCATTCATTCATTCATTCATTCATTCCAGTTCTTCAGTTCTCATGCTGAGCATCCCGTTTGACCCATTGACCACTGGAGGGCAACTGCCCAAATTGTGATTCATGGCTTAAATTTATCTAAAACATTTTTTTAGAAACCTCTCAAGCTGAATCTTGCATTCTTGGCTCACAGAGGGCTCTGAAACAGGAGGAACTGCTTTGACAGAAGGAGAAGGAAAGGGAGAATTCTTCTACCTGATGCTGTCACCAGAAATGGAAGACTAGATCCTTTATTTGCTGAAACAGAATAAGCATGACATTGGCAGGCGTTGAGCAAAATTTGCGTTTGTGCAAATAACAAAAACAACAACAATAATAATAAAGTTGGAAGGGATCTTGGAGGTCATCTAGTCCAACCCCCTGCTCAGGCAGGAAACCCTATACCATTTCAGACAAATGGCTGTCCAGTCTCTTCTTAAAAACTTCCAGTGTTGAAGCATTCACCACTTCTGGAGGCAGGTTGTTCCACTGGTTAATTGTTCTAACTATCAGGAAGTTTCTCCTTAGTTCTAGGTTGCTTCTCTCCTTGATTAGTTTCCATCCATTGCTTCTTGTCCGGCCTTCAGGCACCTTGGAAAATAGCTTGACTCCCTCTTCTTTGTGACAGCCCCTGAGATACTGGAACACTGCTATCATGTCCCCCCTTATCCTTCTCTTCATTAAACTAGACATACCCAATTCCAGCAGCCTTTCCTTATGTGCTTTAGCCTCCAGTCCCCGAATCATCTTTATTGCTCTTCTCTGTACTCTTTCTAGAGTCTCAACCTCTTTTTTACATCATGGCAACCAAAACTGGATGCAGTAGTCCAAGTATGGCCTTACCAAGGCCTTGTAAAGTGGTATTAACACTTCACGTGATCTTGATTCTATCCCTCTGTTAATGCAGCCCAGCACTGTGTTGGCCTTTTTGGCAGCTGCAGCACATGGCTTGCTCCTATTTAAGGGATTGTCCACTAGGACTCCGAGATCCCTCTTACAGTTACTACTGTTGAGCAAGGTATCCCCTATACTAAATATAGTAAATAGGTAAATAGGAGTTGCATTTGCCAATAATAATGGGGGAGGGGTTGGCAAGAAGGGTATTCACTCCCACTGGACTTTTGTGACCTGCAGTGATGAATTTCTGTCAAAAAAAAGTGGCTGTGTCACCTGTGGACCAAACTGGGATTCTCCTCCAATTCTCTTAAAAAGCCATAAAGCAAAAATGCACCCTCACCTTGGGTCTTCAGTGGAAAGTCCCATCATTATAAATGTATGGAAATGCAGCTTTTCTTTTTACTTCTCCCTTGGATTTCAGCAACCTGGTTTTTTTTTGTATTTTTTTTTCAGGGGCATCCACACCCTGATTTTTTTTGTGTGAAGGGTACCTTGGATTTGTGTGACATCAAAGCAGTTGAGAGAAATGCCTGGAGATCTCACCAGAAGCCAAATTTGCAGAGCTGCTATCTGCTTTAACTGGTCCTCGTGATTTCAGGAGGATGGGAATGTGGGATTATTTTTCACTAAGCACCGCCCTTTCTAAGAATGTTTTCTGAGATTTTTGTGCAGAAACAAGCAGAGACCTGTGCTTGACCATTATCCTTTATGTTTATGTTTGTCCTAGCTGTGGATGGAGGGAGTGGTTGTCACAAAAGGGTCTTAACAGGAAATGAAAGCTGTTGGATTGTGATTGTCCCTACCCAAATAAAGACAGAATTTTTTGTACAGTCACACTGCTGCAGTCTTCGTTGTACCCCTTTGTTCACTGTGTTTGTTTAGAAAATAATTTGCATAGCAAATAATCTGTATGCTCAAGGGGATAAACGGCTCTCACAAGATCTGAGAAAAGAGAAAAG